AAATAGCCCCTATTCTACTTGACCTCCTCTCTTGGAATACAACCAGCCTTCCGCATTCACTGGAGTTAGGGCACAAGAATCCTATGAAAGTGAAGAAAAAAAAACAAATGAAGAAATTGCTATGTCTTTCCCTGAGATAATTCTAGGAATGTCTAAGTCTTCCATCATGACTTTATGGTCAATGTCTATTGGAAAATGACAATGTAATCACATTGGAGGACCTAAAGAGGTGGTCTCACACAATCCCACTGGAAGACCATTGGTTTTCTTATAATAATAAAATCCAAATCTGTGAATAATCAAAGCTGCAAAGATCAAGACCACAAATGTGAAGGGAAGGTTGTACTTTTCTCCCATCCCAGCTATTTGAGCAAGAAAGAAACATGAAATGATCAGGCTAAAGGTAAAATCTGATCATCCTTCCTAAGCCAACAGCTGAATAAGGTGTGCACAAAGTTTATTGAATTGTGTAATTTTATCTTGGTTTACTGGGCTTAGAGAACAATAACATTTGAAAGACTCTGATAAACCTCGGAACTCTTATTTGCAATCTAACCCAGATTAGTTTTTGATAATATTGTAAATAAAGTTGCTCATTTCCTTCTGATCAAGGAGAGGACCTGGGAATGTATTCCATCATGGACCAAGTTCCTTGATGTGGGGTTTGTGTGTTACTTCCATGCTTCCTAACACTAAATGGTAGCTGAATTTGTGATTAATAATTGTAACACTAGAAAAACCTTTCGGCTCCAAACACACTATGCCTGGCATTTTGGAACCTTAGAAAACAAATAAAAGCAATGCACGTGTTTTGTTAACAACATGGAATATAGATCAATATTAGGATTTTCTGATTGAAGCTTTTGGGAGAAAATCATGTTTTGATGAGCAGTAACACATTGTTGAAATTATTCTATATAGCTTAGAATGAAGATTAATGTATGATTTGAATGGCTTGAAGATTTCTGTTCTATTTTCATATAACTAAAAAGAAACAAGCCAGGTTTCAGTAAAAGCTCACACAGCAGATGTAATCTTTTATATGATAATTGTTATAATTGGTTGGTTATAATGTGTATTCCAGTTCATGCTATTAAAGAGGCATGCTATTAAAGAGTTCTTGAAGAAATAAGCAAACATCTACACGTTCAAACAACAATGGATTGCATACACAGCAATAGCTGTAACATAATGCATTATTTGTAAAGATATAAATTATGTCTTTTTCATGGGGATCAGTACTGAAATAGCATTGCATTCATTTCAGATTTTATTTTATTTGGATTGATAGTAGAAAATACTTTAGTAAAGTAATGATACAATATTAGATGTAGATTAAATGCTTACCAGTAACTTAAGCAGTAGTCTGATTTAATGAAGATTCGATATATAGTCATGACTTGAAAGAAATTGCTTCTGCCAAAGCAGCTCTTAGACATAATTTCCCACTTCTTGTATCTTAGATACTCATAACAAATGTTCAAAAGGAGGCATTTAGAGAAAATATGTTGTGACACTTAATTTATAAGCATTACTTAACCTTCCACCTTTCTTGAGACTCTTTCGGGTTTTTAAGTAAGAGATCTAGTGTTTTAATTTTAAAGTCTTCACTTACCATATATGACCTCTTGATGTATTTATGATGACTAATATCTATGCTACGGCAGCATCTAGTTAATGTTTCCTCTAATGTTTATTGTATTAATTATTTTGATGCAATTTTTTTAAAAAGCTATGTATCCTTTGTGCATGGAGCCTTTACTGTCTATTTGTATGTTCTCACTGAGAGGTTATATCATTGGTATGAGGGTAAAAAAATGGTCCTTGCACAATGTAGTATTTTTAACAATTGAAGACATGCTCTTTCAGTCCCAAATAAGAATAAAGAAGAAGGCAATGAAGCTCCAATAGCTTCCTGTTGTGGCATCTGCAATGCATGCAAAATGTTTTTCTGGTTGAATGAACCAAAACCTTAGAACCAACAAGGACTTGATATTTATAAAGACACAAGCCTAGTGAAAGGCTAGTGACCTTGTTAATTTAAGATCCTATTTGATTCACATTTGATCTAACATGTTACCCAGCTATGCTCTAGCATAGCATACTCTCCAATATTTCATAGATGAAAAGCGAAATACATGTGGCCAAGCAGCATCAGAGTATGTTCAAGATGACAAAATGTATTAATAAAGAAGACCACATAAGCTAGGAGAGGCTGCATCAGATTGCCTCCGGGCTGAGAGGTGCAGTATACATATATAGTAAATCAATCAATAAATAATTGCTCTTGACTGAGCCCACTTGGAAAGGGCAAGACTCAACCCTTGTCTTTCCTCTCCCCTGCTGAGTTATTTGAGTACAAAGTATATTTGTAATTTCAACTTGATTAAAGTAAGGGGAAAAGTATGAGGAGAAGAGTCCCACAGCACCCATCATATGACGTAGGGTGACTTCCAGTGGGGATCCATTGGTGAACTGGGGTGACAGCATGGTAGGAGGCTGCCGCTGCAACATGAGAGCAGCCCCGTGTTCCATAAGGAACAACAGGGCTGCTCCTGGCGTCAGTCATGCAGCAATGCTTTCCCACGCCAGAATTGTTCCAGTGATGCCCTGATGCCACCCTGATTCACCACGGAGGTTGGTGAATCACAATGCTGGTAATGCTGCATGTGATGAGATCCTTAGTTGCAAAAGTTAGGCTTCCCAAAACTGCCACTGTTCCCTCTTCAGCTAGCAAGGCCCTGTATTCACATTCCTTTTCTGGTTCCTTCTCTGGCAACAGTGTGCACCTCTCATCTAGTTTTTGGGCCACCAGTAATGCTGTAGGTCCCCTCCAGAGCTACCACCTCTACTATGAGATTTGACTGGCACCATTAGCCCTCAGGCCCACCATTGCTGTCCTGAGAGCCAAGGGAGAGGAGTGCACCACCACAGCCATAGAAGTTGCCAGAACAGGAGCACAAGTGCAAGGGCTCGCCAGCCAATTAAACACTTTTGAGCCACACTGTGAAATTGGTGATATTCCCATAAGGCAGTACAACAATTACATAGTATTTCATAAAAATAATAAAAATTAGAATGTAACAAATTGCAGTCTAGCTGCTAATTGTTCAAACATCTTATGAAGCCAATCCATCTGGGGGCATTCAAAATTAAAATGGGATGATTACAAATCAACATACATTCTTCTCTGATAGTTTTCTGGCTGGGTAAATAAGCAGGTTGCAGTGACTAACTCTTCCCTGTCCTCAGTTCCTTCCTCTCTATAAAATAGAATTTGAAATAGCTCTACATCAATCATGGCCTCACAACATATTAGGAAAAATGGATTAGGCAAACCAATATTTGAGGAATGATAACAAAATTATAGAAAACAGTAAAAAAAAATCCTTATCAAACAAGGATGATGACATAACAGATGTTTCAAGTGACTCTACCTTGGGCCCACTATAATTACATTTTAGTGAAGATTGAAGACAATATAAGAGAAACATGATTGGTTTCAAATTCCAGAAATCTAACAATTCTCTTAAATACTTTTAATCAACCTTGAATAGATGTATTAATTTGTAGGCAATGTAATGTCAACCATATAATGCATTCAGATCAACATAACATTATCTAGAATCTAAAAAACTTTGGAATGAGATTATTCTGGTGAGTCCATATTCTGTATTTTTCTCATACGTGTTATCATGTATTTCATATCCGTTTTTCTACACGTGTTTAATTTTATTTGTCATGAAGTATACTTATTACAATCTTAACAGAACAGTTATAACTGTGAACCATTACATCACTTACTTTCATATTTTCTGAGGTATTGGCTCAAATGATTGCCATTTGACCTTGTTTGTGTTATACTGTACACTTTATATCCAGGAACCTCCCCATGGATACAAAACTCTGCGAATGCTCAGGTCCCATTATGCACAATGGCACTGTATAATGGTGCCCCTTATATAAAATACGAAGTCAAGCTTTGCTTTATGGAATTTTTTTGGTGGGTTAGTAGGGAATAGTTTCAAGCCATAGATGGTAAAATCTGTGGATATAAAATCCATGAATATGGAAGACTGACTGTATATACTTATGAAGATTTTTTTAGTTAGATCTATGTAAAATCCATGTCTGCATGGTATTTGTAGATTTGAAATGATATGTACAGGAAAAAAATTATTACATGGTAAAATTACAAAAAATAATACTGTATTTCTGTCTACAGATGCTTCATTTGTTGTGTTTTGGGCTTCTTGTTTTTTAAGGAAGAAAACAGTAAAGATGATAAATTATAATATGATATCTCCATAATTTCAGAAATATATTTAGTCTGTGTTCACAATTTTATATACTGTATCATACCTTTTAAAGAAAAGGAGACTTATTTTTCTTAAGAAAACCACATTGGTTAGCAATCTTGTTTTCTTATCATAGACTCTTAAGGAGTACATTCAGAGTGATCTAATTGAGGAACTTTGGACAATTGATTCCCATTTTGATAATGGAAAGTGTGCTTCTATCTACATTAGTCTCTTTCCAGACCATATAGCTCAAGGGTATAATGGCAGGTTTCCCCTATCTTCTCAATTAGCGAATAATCACTCATCTCAGTGTAAGGGTGCACAAGGCCACCATTAATTTTTATTCAGTACGCTATCCTTTCATTTATGTAGACCTAACAGTTTGTCTTTGTGTTTAGAAACTGGGTGCTAGTGTTTCTGTTTGAGAGAGAATAGGATAAGGAAGATAGAGGTATTCATTCTATTACGAGGGTGCTTCATTTCAACTTAGGAAGCAAATGATCCAAAGTAAAGCTTAGTCCCATGACAATAAGATATAAGTGAGTGCTGGAATAAAGGGAGTCTCCAGTCATAATGATCACCTGCATATCAAGACATGGAGGAGAACAGTAAAGAGAATATTTGAGATTTTGACAGTGGCATTATCAGGCACTACAGAAATAATACATACTGACTTCTGTTCTTTTTTTATGTTGACAGACAACTCCAACAGGTGAAAACACTGACAAGTTTCAGCATTCCAGCATTATTTGGTGAGTTGGGCTTGTGATATGTTCTTAAATCTTCTCTTCTTTCATTTACAGAAAAAGTATTAATTCCTTATGATGCTGTAAACCCCTCAATATCCTCATCCTTATCCTGATTAATGAAGTACTTAGTACAGTTTGGTTGATAGGCAGATTATGGTAATTTCTTCATCATCTTCATCATCATCACCTCCTTCTTCTTAAAATCCTTGATTGTAAAAAGAATAGCATGCATGGATCCTCATGAGTCTAATCAAATGAATACAAAACAGAAATACGTGTTACCAACTCTGGGCCCTTCCAGACAGGCCCAAAATGCGGGACCTGTCTTGTTTTTTACCTGATGTATCCAAATGTCACCATAGGTAAAAGTGAATTGATGCAGAGTAAACTGGGTTTTCCCAGTTTACTCCACATTACTTAAATACCTGTAAAGATCCAGAACTTAAGCTAAGGTCTGGGTCTTTAGAGGTGGGGACCTTGTAGGGACTGACTCCTGGAACTGCTTCTGCAGCCCTGGGGATCAGTCCCCACAGCCATCCTGCTTCTTACAGTTCCCAAAAACCTGGAGAAGTGGGATGGTACCCCTCCCCCAGCCCCATTTTGCCTCCAAAACTTATCAGAGACCTGCCAGCAGTGCAGGCCCCTCTCTGCAGTTCTCCTGACATGAGAAAATGACATGTCAGGAGGTGGGGGGGGGGGGGGGGGGGGGGGGAAGAAGGATTTCTCTTGTAAATTTGGGGATGAAATGGGCTGGAGGACAGCTGAATAGCATCCCAGGTCAACTTTTGTTTGACCCAGAATGCCATCTAACCAGGAAAGCCAAGGGTTTGGGTTGGGGATGGGGACTTGAACCCGAGAGGAAGTGGGTTGTTTTAACCTGCTTCCTCTCAGGTTTTAGCATAGTGTAGGAGGGCCCTCAGAAATAAAATTACATTATGGCTACATGTGACAAGGTACAATGGCCACACATTGTGTCAACCTGAGGAAGAAAAAAAACAAGTTGCAATTATTTCTTGATACTTAACCGTCTGTTTTGGATGCAACACTAAACTAAGCAGTACTTCATCTGTGATCATCAAACCTTGCTCTTTAGAAAATATTTTATAATATGTCCTTGGGTCCATTTAGGAGACTGCTTTAAATGAAAATTATGTTCAGTCTTACGGGTTTCATGATAAGAGAGTGTTTATTTAATATTTATGATGTCTCGGACATAATGAAAATCCTTGGTTCTGTTTTTCTTGTTGATTCCCACCACATCAATAATTCTCTTTTAGAGGCTGGTTGAATTCATATACCTCATTTTGAATCCAGCCCAATTGTATCATTTCAGGAAATATATCTCACCTGATGTTTGTCTTCTTGCATACGGAAAATGTTTTAAGATGGGCTATTAGACAAAGTACTTCTTAATGTTTTCCTCTCTCTTTATTAGGATATATAAAATACAAAGAACAATGATAACATCTTTTAAACCTTCAGAGAAAGAACCAAGGCAGCCTAAGGCATATAGAATAAGTTCCCTACTGATTCATGTAGAAGATCTTTTCAAGGCCATAGATGATATATTGCTTCTGGAGCATATGGCTGGATCTCTTAGTATGTGTATCTTGTCAGAGATATTGAAAATTAACAGTGTATTTTTAATTACAAAAATAATACACTGGCACTGTAACAGTTAAAATGGTGCAGTGACTGAATTAAACTAGTAGGTTGTTATAAGCAGATGTGCCTGTGGATTTGTAAGAGAGAGAGAGAGAGCACGCAAAGAGAGAGAGAAAAAGAATGAAGGAGTGTGTTACTGTGTTCCATGTAGCTGGTGCAGTTTGGATTGTTTGTAGTTTGTGGGGGTCTACTACAGATGCAGGGAATGCTGTAGATGTTGCATGTCTTGATTTCAGTAAAGCCTTCAACAAAGTGCCCCATGACCTTCTTGCAAGTAGACTAGTTAAATGTGGGCTAGGCAATAATATAAGAGTGTTATTTTTGTTATAAGAAAAAGCCTCCAGAGGAAGTGAAAGGCAAATTAACATAGTCTGTGCATTTTTGTTCATTTGGTCACTGTGGCTGCTGCTGTTAAACTGTACTACAATTTCTTTATGGGGAGGGTCTTTTGTTTCTAAGCCCACTCATCCAACATATCTTATATTTCCTTTATTAATAAATAATGATGTCCTTCTCCAAGGAATTTCATGAACGTATTAGTTTCTAAAAAATGGTGGATGTAATCTAGAGAAGGAGGAGAGAATGTCATCATTATTCTTATTTTTTACAAGGGTACAGCTAAATCCATAAATTTATAATGTGTGAAAATAGCAGTTAAGCTGTAAATTATCCGACTTGTGTAAATAGATCACAAAGTATTATTAGAATGGCATGCCTTAAAATTATAATTTCTGATTTTTTAATTACATGAGTAGAATGGTTGTCTGTGATCCAGCAAAGCTCAAGCAGTAACATTTTGCTGCTCTTCTAATAGACTCAGTTGATTATATGACTTTAATATAAATCTATATTATGTAATGTGATAAAGGATTCTGTGGCATTGATAGTGATGACGCTAGATTGGTTGGACTGATATAAAGCAAATCATTCAAAGTGCTGGTTTCCTGGGAAAAGGGAAGCATGGTCTGTTTGGTTGAGAATAAAATTTCATTGGCAGTAAGGATGGATTGCAAGGCTTTGGAACAACTTTAGGCAATCTAAAATCAAAACAAGTTCCAGGAGACATAAAATCTAATGAGCAAGTAGGTTGAAGGAGGGATTTTTTATTGTGTCAGAAGCAACTTGAGAACATACTACAAGTTGCTTCTGGTGTTAGAGAATTGGCTGTCTATAGAGACTTTGCTCATGAGACACCTGAATGTGTTACCATCCTGCTGGGAGGTTTCTCTCATGTCCCCGCACGCTACAGCTGACAGAAGGGAGCTCAGACCATCTCACAGATTTCAGCCGGCAATCTTCAGGTCAGCAACCCAACCTTTAGTAAGCAGTTCAGCCAGCACAAGGGTTTAGCCCATTGCACTACTGCGACTCTGGTTGAAAGAGATATCTGAAGGCATTTGAAGTCTCCTTTAGAGGCTCAGCTCTGATTGGCTCAGGTAGGTGATATGAAGGCCAAAGATACTGAGAAAAAGGCCTTTGCTGACCAACCATGAAAATAAAGGATTATTACCCAGGAGAGAAAAAACAATGAACAACCTAGTACTGGAGAACCAGAGTTAGGTGATCACCAGATTCCTGTGGATGAAACATTGGAGACCCAAGAAGAATGCATAATATGATTTACTCCCCAGTTGGCCCACTACTGCAAGGCCAAACGGAGAAGCCCTCCTTGAGGGTAAACATAGGATAGAATGCTCTATCAGATTATCTCCTAGATATAGCATATACTCTGACAATTAAGACAGTCCTTCTCCAAATGCAACATGGAGTTGACGCAGGAAACCTAAATAATAATAATAATAATAATAATAATAATAATAATAATAATAATAATAGCAATATTTATATTCCACTGTATCTCCCCAAAAGGACTCAGGGCGGATACTGTAAGTTCCAAAATATAGAACTCTTTCAACAACAACAACATAGGGATTGTTCAAACTTTGTATAAACTAAGTAAAACTGGTTTTATCCTACTTCATTACTTATAAGTTAGTGTCACCTACTATGGGTGTACTCACATTGCACAAAAATAGCAGTTTGATCCACTTTAACTGTCATGGTTCCATTCTCTGAAACTGTAGTTTGGTCAGGCACTAATAATTTGCTGTTAGACTCCTCTAGCATTAGATTCTTGGATATTTTGATTTAATCCTTAATACTTCTCTTCTCAGGGTACCTTGGAAACTGCAGTTTAGCAGAGTTCAGTAGAGTTGTAGGAAAGTTGTGTACTGTGTATGCACATCCTGTAATTTCTGATGAAATCTCCATATACATGGACCTAGTTTCTGTTTTATCCAAATTTTCAATTGTTATCTATATTTATCTGTATAATTTGCAAAAGGAGTCAATATTGCATAGATGTTGTTGGGACAAGATAGCGTTTTATAATCTAACCACATTTCACCAGAGATTGCCATCTGTTTTCCACTTTATTGGCTTCTCTTCGAGCTTGAAAATTTTAGGACAATTGACACAAATTCATCTGTACAACGCATATAGGTTCCAGGGTGAGTGAAATCAATTTTCTCTTAAGTGAGAAGAGATTTAAGTATTTATAGGAGAATCCTTGAATTAGTGCCTCATTTTCTCCTGACTCTCTCAAAGAGATCAATTTTCCAATAATTTGTACACTTTAATTTGTAGAAACACCCATATTCTCCCTCCAAATATATTAATATGTTTATGTATTAATGAATTTGGATGTAAATTAGAAAGCAAAATAAACAAGGGTTCAAAGGAATTGGAAATGGTATTGGATACAAATGTTTCCTTATGATCATGAATGTGGTGGCTTTATTTTATCTTTTGTAAAAAAAAATCAAACTATCTATTAATTTAGCAACATAATGTGCCTTCAACAATATTGATGTGCAACAGAGAAGAAGAAATTCTTTATGACAATATTTCCCACAAGCACTGTAAATTTGAGATTATATCCTCTGGGAATAATGGGGATATAAAGTTTCAAAATATTTATTGAAACATTTAACTGAATATTGTTAGGGAACTAATTATTATTTTATGTAATACTTTGAGGAAATATTTACTGATGAAACAATATGCTGTAACTGCAAAATGACATGCCAATTTTGTGTAGAATATGCCCTGAACTGCAAAGATTTTTAACAATCAATAATTTGCTTCCTCAGAGTTTCTTAAAATTCAAAATAAATGTTTTTATACCATTTTAAAATATTGTTTCCATCTCTACCACTACCAGTGCCAAGTTATAGGTTTTTATGTGTACATTTTATGTGCTGTCTTCATTATTATTATTATTATTATTATTATTATTATTATTAACTTTATTTGTACCCCGCTAGCATCTCCCGAAG